CCTTTGAGGCCGCTGTGTTACGGACGGTTGGGGAACATGGAGCTGGGTAAGTCCCCTCTCGGAGGAGGCCGTTGTATCGGCCTATACGGGGCATGATCATGCCTAGCCATTCTCCAAGCGGATAGGGCTAAACAGACATCACCTGGTAGACGGTTGTTTATTAGCTGTTAAACACGATCAGTCACAGGCGGCTTAGTTGACCACTGGTCAGACTTATGAAAGCACCCAGTTGATGATTCCGCCATGACACAGGGTTCTAACTGCGGCTGAACCAGCGTCGTTCCATGGATTGATCCCGTTATGCCCAGTACAACGGAGTGAATCATGCACACGATATGTACCCATTTACTTATTGATACTCTTGATGGCGGCTAGCACCTTAACCATTGTCACTGGCTTTGGCTCCATCTCACCTAAACCGTTTCGCAAAGCGTATTTAAACAATAGCGAAGAAAGGCCGACCCAACGCTTCCTGCGGGATTACCCTGGGGTTCAGGGTGCCACTGTCGTGGTGGTCTCGTTTGAGGATGAATGAACCATCCGTACCAACGGAGAGATCACTGCCGATTAAGCTTATTCAAACGGATTATTTATTAATAACCTAAGCAGAGGGTTATGAATGTCGATGAATCGGTTAAAAGGTCCCGCCGGTCAATGAACGCTTGCTTTCCGATTAACTAACCAACTACCAGCCATGAATAAACTACCGTACACGTCCATTCCCGATACGTCTGACAGCAACTACTGGGAATCAAAGTCAATCAAGAATAATCTACGAAGCACCACCTTTGTGCCACGCGACAAGGAACTCCATCAACAGTTACGGGTAAAAGCATGGGTGCTCATTCAGGCATCCCTATCGAAGAAAAACAGAAGGGGGAAGAGCTAACTGTCTGTGTTGGGAATTACTCCTGTTCTCTTTGTGGTGAGGTTCATGCGCTTTCAACGCTTTACGAGTTTGCCGGATACGCCCAATCAGGTTACCCCTGTTTGTGGAAATATCATCTTCATCAACTAGCGAACCATAAACAGTAATTAACCAGACCGAGACGACAGGTAAACCCGGCTTTATCGGTGGACTACTTGCCGTTTGTTACGGGAGTATGTAGTAATCAGCTGATTCATCAACAATAACTCCGGCTTTAGTGAGGTTACCCCGCTTCTCCGTTCGCTTGTTTACATGGCAAACTATTCAGACCTTTTCCATAAACGACTCGAGGAGTATTTATTCCGGGTCTCGCTTGAGGTTGTCGATCTGGCCGATACGGAAACCCAAGACAAGTTGATCGATTTGATTCATCAGCTTCAGGCGGCTCCCGGACCTGTTGAGGAGAAATTAACCGGGCAAAATAACCCATCAACCGCTACCGAAT